CGGATTTTCATGTGGTTTTTTGCATTGTGTTCCTCAGTGAATTTTCTATGTCGTGACGTTTTCATATTTGTTAATTACTACCTCAGTATTTTTACTCCTAAGCTAATTTCACATTATGATAACGACCACATTTACAAGCATGTATACAATGTTCTCTGTAAAATAAAAACAGAGTCATAAAAATATTTGCAGAATGTCACGACATCAACCATCCCAATGGCTAAAATATAAGAGCAACTATAGGCTCCTACCATGTTTTTTTGTCACACCAGGCTTTGGGCAAGTTTGGTAGTACACTGATGGATAAAAAAAATTTATAATGCCAGAACTACTGGAGATAGCTGAATGAAACTTTGTCATTTATCATTTAGCGCAGTTTCCAGTAAGCATGCCAAATTTCATTGCTCTACGACAAAAACTAAAGAATTTCACTTTCGATCCCCACCTCCCCCCTTAAAAAGTACGAGGTGAGCAAGTCAACCATATCGATGATCCTGAAAAACAAGGAAAAGATCATCAGTGCCGATGACAACACAATGGAGAGAAAGCGCTTGCGGAGAGCTATCTATACGAACGTGGAGGACGCACTGCTGAAATGGTTCGTAGATGCGCAGGCTCGGAACAGTCCTGTAAGCGCTCCTATGATGCTGGCCAAAGCGAAAGACTTTGCATTCCTTTTAAACTTTCCCAACTTCTGCCCTGGACATGGCTGTGTACATCGGTTTAAAGTGCGCCATGGCATTGTGTTTAAATCGATAGTTGGTGAGGTGGCCTCAGCAAGCAACCAAGACGTTGCCTCGTGGCTGGAAGCAAATCGAGACACTATTTTCAGCTATGCCAAGCGAGACGTTTATAATGCGGACGAAACTGCGCTATTTTATCAGATGCTACCGGAAAAAACTCACGCCATGAAAGGTGACACGTGCGCTGCCGGCAAACATAGCAAAGTGCCCGTCACAGCACTTCTGTGCACTAATATGGATGGCAGCGACCGGCGCGTGCCCTTTGTAATCGACAAATCGAAGAAGCCGCGTTGCTTTCGGGGATATGTGCCTGTTCGTTACAGAGATAATGCCAAAGCGTGGATGACGCGCGATTTATTTGTAGAGTGGCTGCACGAAGTTGATCAAGACATGCTCAAGCAAGGCATGCGCGTGCTGCTTGTGGTCGACAGCTGCTTCCCGTACTACGTATAAGCCTCGCTGGCGGCAGTAACCCTGCTTTTCCTGCCGCCCAACACAACATCTAAGGTGCAACCGCTGGACTTGGGCATCATTCGCACGTTCAAGAGTTATTATAGGCACCGCGTTGTGGAGCCCTAGCTGATAGCTGTTCACCGCCCAGCAGCCAGCCTGCCGCTTCAAGTGACCTTGTACTTAGCTTTGGAGATGCTGAAGGCTTCGTGAACAGAGGTGACGATTACATGCGTGCAAAACTGTTTTCGCAAGGCCGGCTTCGTTGACGCCGGACCCGATGCTGAGCCTGAAGCCCCCGAAGAGGACCGATCTACCGATTTGAGGCAGCGCGTCGACTCAGACTTGGGATCGCTGGACATCTACTGGGATGACTTCATTACGGCCGATGATGATGATGCCGACACTGCGGAGCCGTGCACGGATGAGGGCATAGTGAAGGAAGTGCGCAGCAAGAGTGATACGGAGGAATCAGATGACGACGATGACGTAACTTTGGAGCCAGCGACCACGAGTGTGCCTGTAGCGATCGACTACATAGATAGCCTCCGGCAGCTTGTATATGGTAAGGGCCTCGGCGAAGAACACGCTGCCGCCTTAAATAAATTCAAGACAGTACTCATCACACCTGCGCTCTCAAAACAGATGTGTATTACGAACTTTTTCACAAAGGAAAAAAAATTTTGGTTTTCACTTGCAAATTTTTAAGGGGAGACGCTGGTCTTGAAAAAAACATTTTTATTATTAGAGATATTGTAATAAAATTAGGTGTGTATATGTATTTTTCTTCCTCTTTTCAAAAATGTAAACATATTTAATGTACACCAACTAATTATGAAATTGTGAGAGCATAAGTGGTGTCTAATTATGTAATTTCTTATGGATCATTAAGGCACTTTCCTTCAATATTTTTAGGTTTTGTTTAGGATGCAGCTGTAGCCAAAGACCTGCCATGCGGAGCTATGCTATTCATATTGTCACTGAGATACATCATCATATAAAAATTCTCATTTGCACTGAAGCTCCATAATTTTGAAATCTAATTAGCTCATATTATCATACCTAACATTTCATATGTCCCCTTTTGCCACAAAAAAAAAAAGCAGTAGCTCCATAGTCCTGTTTATTATTAGTTCAACGGTATAAAAAAAAATTACTTCGCAATAAGATGATGAAAAGTTCCGTAAGGCTGGTCGGGTTGGCAAAAAAATGTGAAGCTGAGAAACACATCTCAAGTTTCGACACGCACTGGAAAATTTTCTATAAGAATCTTTACCACAATATTTATACACACGTTCCCCATTTATTCCCCTGCAAAACAAAAGAAAATGCCCCTTATTCCACCCTAGGAATCGTTTCTAAAAAATTCTTCCAATGTGGAAAGCATTACCAGAACCCTACCATGACAAAGCTGTTGAGGAGTTCTGGAAAAGCCACGGGGAATGCGGCTCAAATGACTAGCTGTTAGGTAGCATGCTGCCTTGGGTAATAAGTTGCTGAGCCAATAAAATATACAGTCGATGTTCTGACTTCCCGGACCCTCAAGGGACCATGAAAATGTCTGGAAAATCCAATGCACGTAAATTTTTAACGCATAATTTTTGCTGACAGTAAGGATCATGGCAGGAGTACAAAATTCTCACTGCAATCTTGCAATTGCATCATTTAGGTGGCTCTAGCTGTTTATGAAAAAAAAAAATCGATGTGGCCAGTGCTACCTCAGCGGTCAACACCTTGGACCAAAAAAGTCTACTTTCTTTTGCACGGCAATCCGCGTGCCCGCGATGACGTCTGCCACAATTTCAGCTACACGTCATGATGTCGCTGTTCACCGATGACAGTGTCATCAGTGCACGCGTCAACTCCAAGCTCCTTGGCTGTGTAGGCGCTGCCGAAAATCGAACTTTCGCTGGGTAGCTGACTTTCCCGACAAAACGGTCCTCGTTTGCACAGATTTCTCAGCTCGCTGCGCCTGCTCTGCCGTTTAGTAGTACACAGCATCAATCCGAAGTGTATCGCACGTCGAACTTGGCCTCACGGCGTCATCAGTAGACAGCATCGTTAATGTTTCCGGCAGATCCAACGGGTCCGGTCGCGACTCCAACTCAGCTGCCAAAGGTGCACTTGTAGGCGGCGCCTTCTTGTTCCAAGGCCATTTTTTACGGCTTCCAAAAGTGCGTCGCGTTGATAATTTCAGGCGAGAGTCTCCAGGCATCTCGATAGCGGTAAAAAAAGTACCGGTGCAAAGCATAAACACGGTGCATCGAGAAACACCCACGATCCTAAAAGCAGGCGCACACTAACAGACAACCGCGGAGGCGAATGGGAAAAAAAAAGATGACGCGTCAGTCACACCAGCTAATAAGAGAATCGGAAAGGCGCGCTTGAAAGGCGCGCCACGTGACAGTCAACCAGAGATCTGGAAACGACCTTCGGAAAACCCGCCACAGCGGCCATTCTGCTTGTGCGACACCATTTCTAGATGACGCAAAATGTGCATAAAGAAAACAGCTTCAAATCAAGCCAAAGATGGCAGCGCTCAGTCCGCTGCAACGCACATGGCACGTGCGGGAAGTTTGAACAAATTTCGTTCTTTTGCGAGCATTTCAGTCCGACAGCGGTGCATTGAAGGCCGATTTTATCGCGTTTCCCGACCAAAATCAGCGTTAGCAATTTGACAGTAGGTGCTTAGAAATACGAACGCCCCAAAAATAAGCTTTGCGAAAAACCGATTTTCTGACCATTTTTTACCCTTCTAAGACCTCCATCCCCCTTAAAAGCAATGTTTCATTTACAACAAACTGCGGGATATAACGAACGGATGCTGCATCACGCTCAGGTTCATTATAAGCGGCCTCGACTGTAATATTTTATACCCGAGTCTAGCTTTCCTGACAAGGTTGCATTTTTCTGTGTTAGGCCAAGGTTCACAAGTTTTCTTTTTGTGAAAGTACCTACATGAAACATTACTTTAGAGTATTCTGAGTAGTACTTTGTTATGGAACATTGACCACAAAGCCAACAAACAGCGTGCTTTTTGCATTTGCCGAGAAGTAGGCAAGAAATTTTCTAGTTCAGTTCTAACAGCAACATAGTCTTTTTTTTATAGCTAAACAGTTTTCTTTCTGGAGCTGGTGATGTCCGTACACACTGTGCATAAGCTGTGCAACCACAGCTCTGTGATTGCTAATACATGGGCAAACAGTAATAGTTGATAGTACTAAGTTTGGTTCAGTAAAGTGAAAAGTTGGGCGAGATAGCTTTGATTGATTATAAACTGCACCAAAGTTTATAATAAGTCTGTAATAGGTTTGGTTTATGTCTATCTTTCCGATAGGTCCTAAGACCTGGTAGAAAGATTTTAACATAACTTACAGAGTCATCTACCGGTGATTCAGTGCCCATTACAATTTGAGCGTTAATGGTTGCTACCAAGGACAGAAAACAATCGACTTTGTTCTTTATGCTGCGACAATTACTAAAACAGAAACAACATATAACAGAAAGCCGTTCAGGCAGTGGACAACCCACTCAGTCATCGTTGAGGGAAACAGATTTCAGAGCCCGTCATAAGCCTCCATCCATTTGTGCATGAATCATTTGTGGAACTGGCATCTGCGTGTCGCTGTCCCAGACAAATACCAAGTAATTTTGTGCACTCGTATCTTCCCCCCTTTATTAGCTCAAAGGTACAAAGTGCTGCTTCGCAACCTAATGTCACTTTGGCAGGTCAATTCTTGCCACCTGAACCAAGTCTATCAAAGAAACAATTGTCACTAGTACTAAATTTGCAAGGTGGGTACGCACCACAATGTGTATGTACTGGATGACCCGAGGTTTGAAGTACAGCCTTTGCCAGGAGCGGCACAAGAAGTGGGAGTGGTCCACCACACGCACCCAGTCCTGCTGATCCACCGACACCTGCGGCACCAGGGTAGAGGGGGGGGGGGGGGAGCAAAAGTTAGCTTGTTGTTTGCGCCACTTAAGGGGACCGAGAATCAATCATAGTAATACCGATTTTCTTTAGTGCAATGGAAAGCTCACTGGTCAGTGTCTAGTCACAGAACATTTGCATCCAAATGTTTTCTTTCTGCTGCGAATATGAAGTTGTATACACTCGTGACAACATATGCTGCAAAAAGTGAGTACATCAAGCACGGAAGCATGGAGTAATGCGTTACAGCTTCACATGGTCCATTGGTGGCCACAAAGGCAGCGCCACTTCTTACCATGCCTCTCCCTATGCCTTTTACCTCGTAAAAAGCACAAAATCGAGCGGACGTATACAGTGGAACCCTAATTATACAATTTTCACGGGACCACACAAAACCATCGTATAATTTCAATATTAACAGCGATGCTTTTCTGCAGACTGATGTAATTTGTGCCAATTTTAGAAAAGCCTTTCATCAGGTCTCTCATCGTAAATTACTTTTCAAGCTTCAAAGATTAGGAATAAGCGAAGAAGTATTAAAATGGATAGAGGCCTATTTATCCGCACGTCAACAGGCTGTAAAAATTGAAAATTACACTTCAAGACCACTGACCGTGTACTCGAGCATTGCCCAAGAATCTCTTCCCCAAGGACCAATTCTTTTTCCGATATTTGTTAATGATCTATGTTCAATAGTTGAGGCTCCTATTAAAATGAAACTTTTTACAGATGACTGCTTGATTTATTCCCCAGTTACTTGCAAAGGTGACCACATTAATCTGAACAGGCGCTTACAGGCATTATACCAGTGGTGTATAATATGGGACATGGAAATAAACTATAGTAAGACGACATTTACGCATATTCACTTTAGTGGGCGGGAATTGTCATTCATGTATCACATCGGAAGTCACCCTTTAAATAATGCCGCTTATTTCAAATACCTAGGAGTTACTATTGATACATGTATGAAACTGTCGCTCCGGCACACCTGGAAGGCGGAAGACGACAACGTGGTTGTTGTGGGTTGGACTCTCGAGCTTCCCCTGTTGGCCTGCATCACGGTGCGCTCTTTAAGCCGTTAGAAAGACCCGCTGTCGGTGAATCAATCTTTCCCGTAACAGTATCATGCACACACTGAAATAGCACTCGCATATTGATAACATCTGTTCTAAGGCAAACAAAAAACTGTATTTCCTAAAGAAAAAACTGGAACATGCCACACCAGATCTAAAACTAACTCCTTACAAAACATTCATACGTCCTGTCTTAGAGTACGCTAGTATTGCGTGGTCCCCTCACCAGAATGTGTTGTGGGCAAAAATTGAAAGAATACAAAAATTAGCAGTTTGTTTCATATGCGGTAGATACCGAAGCACACACTCAGTCACAGCTTTGTTAAAGTACTGTGAGCTTTAGTCTTTAGAATATCGCAGGCGCAAACATCGTCTCGAATTTCTTTTTAAGATTATAAGCGGGCAAACAAAAATAAATAGGGATTTATATCTTCAGCTCCCTGGAAAGTGATGTGATCAGCTTAATAATAGTAGAGCAATTCAACCTTATTTCACACGCACGAATGCTTTCCACCACTCCTTTTTCCCAGACACAATAGAAATGTGGAATAGTTGACCCAATGCGGTTGTGCAGCAAACGCCAGTGAATTTTGAAAATGTATTAGACAGTTTTCTTTGTAGTGATGCGTGCTAAATTCTGTTTTGAGCATTTATTCGTTAATTTCTATGTGTATAGTCACTGTTGTTTGTTTCTTATTTTTCTGTTGTTGGTTATTCATTTCGTACTTATATGTGCTTTTAAATTTTCCTTTTTTGTGTGATCGTTATGTACTTTGTGACACCCTCCCTGTAATGACCCCAAGCACGGAGTTGACAGTATCAAATAAATAAATAAAATAAATAATAGAAAAACTAAGAATGCAGGCTGTGACACTACACAAAAAACAGGTGCTTTACTAGGCCCACCTTTTTAAGGAATGTAGATTTTATTACTCTTAGCTAAAGCAGGTGCGGGCGAATCATTATTTTCAACGTTAAAAAAATCAAATCCAATGTGCATTTTTCTTCCTATAAATTGAGTCGAACATTGCCTGTGTGTTAAAACCATGTTGCCAATTGCCTCCAGTCAGAAGAGTTAGACACATGTCCCCGTCATCACATAATGGCGACAGACCACAAGTTCATGAGATAGTGTAGAATGCAACTGAGCTGTGCGCATTGTAATTTGTTGCCTTGTGAAGTACAACTAATGATGTCCCGCTATAATAATGAACGTTGACATCAAGTGAAAGTTATTTTTCACAGCGAAAATAGCTGAATAGCGCCTTTATGCGTGCTGGAGTTTGTGAATGACAGTGGCACAAACTATGGCAGGAGATGAGTTGTATTTCGACCACGAAAAGTTTCTGCAGATAGAAAACATCAAAATACCAGGATCTCAGAAATGAGCTTTACGGTCAGCTGAAGTTGCTCTGGACGGAGCTCCTCTAGGTAAAGACCCTGTGTACGGACGTGATAGAGGTGTACGCAGAAGTGCATGAGTTGCCAGGAGAATAAATTTTCCAGTTCAAGAATACACTCAAACATCTTTATAACAAAGTTGAAGGGGAGCCACAATTATTTCTTTATATCCATTATTTTGTTACAGCGATTATAACATTTTGTGGCAATGTATGCTCAGATGGGGGCACACCTATAAGCATGCAAAAAAGAAAGGCGCTTCGCGGCCCGATGCACCGTTATGCGACCATGCGTGCCACAAAAAATAAACTCAGTCGAATCTCATTAATTCGAACTTTCAGGTAATTCGAACTCACTCTGAGGTCCCGTCAAAGCTATGTGTATTCCAATGGGCGAAAACGCTCAGTAATTCGAATGCACAAACACTTGTAATGGTTAATTCGAACATACTGCGCTCCGAAAATGCTCTCAGCTCCATGCCCAATCCTGCGGCGGCACCTCTCAACGCTGCACACGAAGAAGGCAAAGAAAAGGAAAGAAAACACTGTGGCAGATTGTTTCCTCTCTCTCAAATGCTGATATGTGGCGTGCCTGTCCCACGCTTCTCCATTTTTTGTGTCTGCACGTAGAAAACCTCTTTTCAAGGCCACGCGCGGAGAGGAAAAAAGAAAGAAAGAAAGAAAGAAAGCTGTCGTGGAGAGTCCTCCATTCTCGGTGCAGAGGGTAGCAGCCACGGTGGCAGCGGAGACACAGTTGTTGCCGTCGTGAGACGGAAATTGCTTTCCTCCGCAGCGTCACTTCTTCGTCATGTGACCCACTGAGCACTTCCTCAATCCTCTCCGCTGGCTGTGTGAGGAGGACAGCTCTCTTGGCCGCGCGGGGCGTGGCTGTAAGGTCGGCACAGAAGTTTTGAAAGAGCTGCGCCGAACGAGCGTCAAACTCCGCAGAAAACGATATACTTAACGCACTACGGTCGTGTTTTTTTATAGACTATTTGATGGACTAATTTAGTTCGTTATATACATATACTGGTCAATTTTACTTCGTTATAAGGTTTAAAATGCATGGTTCTCAATGGAGCTTTCCAGGAGAATTTCATTTACTTCGTTATTTCCCATTACGTTAAAACGAGGTTTCAGTGTACACCCAATCTCAATCTCTACTTTGCTATTCATCAAGCTATGGGAACGCAAGTTTATATTTTGCCTTCGTGACTACTCATTGTTACAGTCGAACCCCGCTAGAACGAAACTGACGAAGCGCTACAATGAAAAATTTCGTTGAAACGAAAATTTCATTGTAGTGAAATCGAAAAAATATCGCTGATCTAAGCTAGCAAAACAGAGAAACGTTTATTCTCAAAGCTGAAAAAAAAATGTTCGCTTTCCCAGCAGCATCCCGACACGATTCTCACCCACGCATAGCAAGGCCATGGTAAAAATCAGTCTGAAACAACGCCTAAAACCGCTTTCGTGAACGAACCAAACAGTTTCATTAACACGTTACCACCAGCAGCTGTCCGCCGTCACAAGTATCCGAATACGCTGAGATGGAGGCAGGGTATTGTGGAGCGGCGACTTTTGCATTATTCTATGCCATTCATATCATCGAGCACTCCTGACTAGCTAATTTTATTATTAAAAGGAAGAAACAGCCGCTCTGATTAGTTACCACACTGGCCAAGCGCGAACATAATGATAAGCATCTGAATCGGAAAAGGCTTCGTGTTGCGGTTGCACCCAGCAGCTGCGAGAAGGAAACTATGAACTGAGCGACTGAGCTTCAGCTTCGGATGGTCTAAGGCTCAAAAGCAAGCCAGTGGCAAAACAAAAAGCAGGGCAGTCTCATTGCCATCACTATCGAGCAATGGCAGCGCCCATGCTTGCTGAACATCGGCGGTATAGCGGTGGTTCCTGGTGGTGCCAACGCGTGTTTTAGGCTTCATTTACGTATCTTCAGACTCTGAAAGTACATCTAAATGTTGAAGATTGGGTTTACTGCATAGAAATAAGTATCTGAGCCTGGAATTGCATCGTAAATGTTCATTGAAGCGGGACGATCGAAGAAAAAGTGTTCGTTGTGGCGAAAATATTTATGCATTGCCTCCTATGGACTGCTGACGGGGAATCTAGAATTTTTCGTTGTAGCGGAAATTTCCTTGAAGCGGCGTTCGTTGTAGCAGAGTTCGACTGTATATGCGACTATAGAGGTTTTTTTTACTTCAGATAGAATCAGAAAATTGTTGCAAAATGAGAAGTCAACGTAAAACTGCGTCATATAACCAAGGTTTTCAATACAATATTTTTATGGGGATTTTGCACAGACCAAACTGATGGATGAAATTAACTCATCCGACTAAGGTAAAAATTTATACAAAAAAAGACGTTTTGGCTCCCATACGGGAGCTCAAACATGAGAACAAGGCTTCCGCATGAAAGCCGAAATGTCTTTTTTTATTATTATATTTTTCAGCTCAGTGAGCGCTGTGCTAGTTTTATCTATGACATTCCCCGACCAAGTGGATATCCGCCAAACTGCCGACTACGTAGACCGAACCGACCCGTCCGAAAACACGGGTCATTGCAAGACCGGGGGACGTATAAATGAAGTTCCACTGTACAGTGAAATCCCGTTAAGATAAACTCAGTTGACACAAATTCTTGCATATGCCAAACAATGTGGGAACGTTTCTTTGATTTGCCGTAGACTCAATGCAAAAAGAAACTACCGAAGTCCAACTGCCCAACAGGTATCTTCTTCTGGATGAACTTTCGCAGTGACAGACAATGCTCGCAACTCTGCCCAACCAACATTGCAGTTTTAATGAGGCATTCAGGTGCACGAGAGAAAGCAAATAGGAAAAAAGAAAGCACTTCCTGGCACAAAAACGCTAAGCGAATTTTGAAAGACATGTGGAGGGAAGGAGCAAGATGTGCATAAAAAAAGGCAGTGCGAAAAGCCGGAGGGCTGATATCTACTTCACCGCCAGCCTACGATTCGAAAACTGGCGGCTTTATCAGCAGAGAAAGCAACAAAAAGAGTTTGGGAACATGATCGCTTGGGGCAACCTTAGCCTTTGCATCCTTTTATATTCTCCCCACGTTCCTTGGTTTCCCTGATGGAGCTCAAAGAACAGCAGAACACACACGAAAAAAAAAAAAAAAAAAGCAGCTTGGGCTTCCTACAAGGCTATTGGATCTTCTATGTACAGAGTAGAAAATGAAAAAAAGGCCCAATAAAAACAAGAACAAATATTGTCTGTGCCTTACAAATGCATACAAAACCGAAACTACGTTTGCAGCACCTGTCAGATGGGCCATACACATTGTCAAAGCTCACATTGTTTTACATTTGGCCTGTATCCATTGTATCTCTTCCAAGTAAAGTGCAAATTGTGACATGTTATTTTAATTATGAGAGCACACAACAAAGGAAGGTTATTTTGCACACAGAATACAGCTGGGTTATGTCTTCTCCGTGTGCGCTAGGTTTGAGACCAAGAGTACTGGAAACGGAGATCTTCAGCAGCAACTCAATCAGTAAAGATTACTATGGGCTCAAAACAAGAAAATACCCTGACCTCGAAAAGAAGCTTGAAGACTTTCTTAAAGGGGCCCTGAAAAACTTTTTCAAGTAACCATGGAATGAACTCACTGGAAGAGCTTATTGCCTTACGAGTTCAACGGCGAAAAAAGTTTTAGAATCCGTCCAGTGCGAGTGGACTTACAAAGGTTCGTCACAAGCTCCAATTGTATTCTTTCTTCTCTCGTCCTAACGACAGCGCCGGAAGCTAAGCAGGGAGGGATGGCAGGGCCACAGAAAAACGTCACGTGCGCATGGCAACCTTGAGTACTTTTTTTTCCCCCTTTGAATGCGTGAGTTTTTCAATGTGATCACGCGCGCACGCATGGACAAGTAGCGGCCTCTTGCGGCAACCTGTGTAACAAGCGAGCGCATCATGTTCAAATCAGCCAATGATTGATAGATGGGTCGTTGACGTGTGATTTTCGGTCATATAACGTGATTTGTCAAGAGAAGAGAAAGCAATTTTTAGCTGATTTTCATAATTTATTGTGAATTCCAGGCCGCGTGCTGTGCTATAATATTTGGCTCACGTGTTGTCGGGAGCCTCTACAGTCAAATATCATTATTTCAAACACGCTTAATTTGAACTTCCAGTTAATTCGAACTTACGATGAGGTCCCGTCAAAGCTATGTGTATTCTAATGAGCGAAAACGCCCGGTAATTCGAACGCCCAAGCACTTCCGACTGTTAATTTGAACATACCGCAGCACCAGCAACATCCACCGCAGCACCAGCGACATCTCAACGCTGCCCGCGAAGGAAATGAAAAGGAAAGAAAAGGCTACATTAGAATTTTTTTTCTCCTCTGAAATGCCGATCTGCGACGCGCCAGTGTCACGCTTCTCCCTTTTCCGTCCCTGCCATGTGAAGACCCTTCTTCCAACACTGCGCACCAAAAAAGAGAGGAAAAAAAAAGCTGTCACTTGGTTGAATGAATGTGTGATTGAAGGAAAGAAAAAAGCCACTATCTTCTGCAGCCCTCGCCCCTTGCGGGAGCCCGGCTCTGCACGGTGAGAGGGGGAAGTCTCACGCGCTGGTGCCACGCTTGCCCTTTTTATGTCCCTGCCACGTAACCCTTCTCCTTTCAACGACGCAAGCGAAGAGCAAAAAAAAAAAAAAAAAAAAAAAAAGGGCTGCCATGGAGTGTTGGTTTTCTCTAAAATACCGATCTGCTTCTCTCCGCGTGGAGACGCTCCTCCATTCTCGTCACGTGCTGGCCATGCTGCGGTTGCGTAGCGGAGAGCGGGAGGCTTTGCTACGCAGCAGTCGTTGTCGACGTTTTTAGAAAGTGTCGGATGCTGGAGAATGCTGAAGCTGAAGTAGAAATGCTTTGCAAGCTCCGTGCGAAATTGATTGACTCACTGCAAGGTGAACGTATGCAGATGCGCATCACTGATTACTTCAATTAACAACGATGTTCTTTGATTTGTGAATAAATGCAAGTCTTCTTAAACTTCCCCCTCGCGTGTTAGCTCAATGCACATGCGCCACTGCATGAAAAGCCCTCCGTTTATTTAGCTTTCATTAATTCGAACATCTTTTAATTCAAACAAATTTTAGGATCCCTTCGAGTTCGAATTATTGAGATTCGACTGTACTACCAATCTGCAAGGTTTTCTGACCATGCTCAAAAAGTATTGCAGGACCCCTTGAAGCAACTACGTGTATATTAGCTTTGTTAGCACATAAGCGAGGCTTGTACAGAAATGATATTAGAGGCAGTAAAGCTGGCTTTCAGAAGAAAAGAAACTGAGAGAACAAATTTTCATTTTCTGAAGGAAACTCATGTGTTTAGTACCTACCCCCCTTCTTTTTTTTTTCTAAACCTGAACATAGGGTTGTGGTATAGATTTAGGTTAAAATGCATTACCAATATATCTAAGAGCATAGTTATTATGAACCCGCAAAATGAGGTAGTCATTAGATTCGTGTAAGTACTCTCCTGGAAGGTATAGTTTTTATCAAGTTGATCCAAATGAATGCTTTTTCTAGTTATTTCTACTCATCAGTAAGTCTCATCCATTCAGTGTAGAGAAGAAACATATTTGGATGGACTTGGTAAGTTGCCACGTCTTTTAATGGGGGCAGCTCTGATAAGCCAAACTCCAGATAAGACGAAGTGGACATCTAGAGTGTGGGCCTTCCTTACCTCGATGTAGTAGGAGTATGCCCGGTTATCCTTGTCCCAGAGCAACAGCCGCAGGTTGTTGAGGATGCAGGGTGCCCCCAGGCGCACCAGGATGCCCTGCCCCCCTTCGTCAATGGGGTGCCGGGTGAAGCCACGCTCCATGTCATACACCTGGGTGTCCCCATCCAAAAGGGCCGACCGCATCTCCCCCTGCAACACCTGCGCCCCGTGCAGCTGGGTGGCCACATTCTCACCTGGCACTGAAACGCAGGGTAATATTCATTCATTCATTCCCCATTGCCCGAACCAATGAGTTTCCAGCGACACCTGTTAACACGCATCATAAATTCACGACAGCACAAAGTAATACAGAAGTCAATGCCAGTGTGAGCTCTCAATATTCGACACTGCAAAGCAACACCAAGTACCTCAGCAACATCCCAATACACATGTAAATTCATTGTTCCCAAGAACTATCCAACAATTGCATTCACTACCTCCATCACTCCTCTGATGTCTCTCAGTTGAAAATGTCGAGGAAGGACCTCAACAATATTTCACTCTGTCTGACAGAAATGATGGACACGTTGACTTTCCTTTACTAATTTCGTGATGTTCTAACCCCTGCTATGTGAACATTACGAAGAAGCTTGCAAATGAATGCACAGCTGTATTGTGTTATATTGTAGTTTATTGTATTGTATTTAGGTGTGTTGTACAGTCAAACTCTGCTACAACAAACGCCACTTCAACAAAATTTCTGCTACAACAAAAAATTCACAATTCCTTGTCAGCAGTTCATAGGAGTCAATGCATATATATATATTGTCGGCACAATGAACACTTTTTCTTCGATCGTGCCGCTTCAACAAAATTTTATGATGCAAATCCAGGCTTAGATACTTATTGCTATACATTAAACCCAACCTTTACATTTAAATACATTTTCAGAGCCTGAAAATACGACAACGAAGTCTAAAACACGTGTTGGCACCACCAGAAACTGCCACTATACCACTGCTGTTCAGCAAGCATGGGCACCCCACTGCTCGATAGCGACGGCAATGAGACGGACCTGCTTTTGAGCTGCAGATGATCCGAAGCTGGAGCTCAGTCGCTCAGTTCATGGTTTCCTTCACGCAGTTGCTGGGTGCAACCGCGGCACAATGTCTTTTCCGATGCTTATCATTATGGTCACGCCTGGCCAGTGTGGTAACTAATCAGAGCGGTTGTTCGTCTGCATTATTAACAAAATTAGCTAGTCGCTAGTGATGGATGATAAAAATGGCATAGAATAATGCAAAAGCATAGAATAATGCTCCACAATACCCTTCCTTCATCTCGGCATGTTCGGATACTTGTGACGGCAGACAGCTGCTAGTGTTAACGTGTTAATGCAACTGCTTGGCTCGTTCACGAAAGCGGTTTTAGGCGTTGTTTCAGCGTTCTTTTCACCATGGCCTCGCTATGCATGGGTGAGAATCATGTCGGGATGCTGCTGGGAAAGAATAGGAAGCAGCGGACATTTTTTTGGAAAAACCAGAATAAAATGAAATAACAACTGAACGTCAGGCTACTTTTAACTAACCCTTAACCATTTTAAACACATGCTTAAGGTAAACAATTTTATTTCTTGCTACTATATGTTTCGAGTCTGCTTGGCTAAGGAATTGAGAAATGGCGAGTGTGTGATACAGTTAAACCTGCTTATCATAAACCTCTATATAACGAATTCATCAATATAATGAAGTTACTCCACTGAAGCACATGTGTTTCCTACCTCTATGTAAAAAAGTAACAGCGGGAGACATTCTCGATATATTGAATTTTTGCAAAGGACAATCTAGAAATTTTGCCCCGGATTTTGTCATTTTGTGCCACCATGCATCTTCCGCGATTTCCCCGCCGCCGGCGAAGCGCAATGCGGCGACTCCCAGGCGAGAGTGAGCCAGAAGAAACAAGTACTTACACAGGCACCCTCGGTAAGGTCTATCAGCATCCCTGGTCTCGGTGCGGAGCTTAATGGCATCCAGAAGTGTGTTGGGACACACCAGCCCTGTGGGGCGCACCACGTTCAGAAGTTCTTGCACTGTCAGCAGTGGTAGACGAACCTGAAACAGGCAGACAACACATGGAGCTTGAAGACTAAGGTTGCACAGCAAGCTTGTTGGTTATCCATAGTAGGTGATGTATAGCGCATCCGGAACAGAGACGACGAGACATAACGCTGTGTTTGTGTTGTGTGTCTTCTTCTCTGTCCCGTCCTGGTTGCGCTACACATCAGATACAGACACCATTTCTCAAAGGCTAGTTTTCTCTGTCATGAAAATCTCGTACACGTCTAAGCAAGTGTGAAGCTCTGCAAACACTGATAAGATATTTTGACATTATACCCAGGTATTCTGATTTGGAGCAATTTTCGGAGTAGAAATGTTTTCTATTCCGGAGCACTTGGGAGCAGCTAATCTTAAATACGGGAGCACTCTGGAGCAGCTAACTTCACATCCCAGAGTACACTGAAGAAGCAAGTTGCATTTATATTCAAGGACATGAGTAATTATTTTGAGGCTTTTGTGAAGAGCTAGATATATTTCGATTCATTGCAAATGCCCCCCCAGCCAATCACCTTATGAGCATTCTCTATTTCACTCAATGTGACAAAGATAATGGTGTCATGCTGCTGAGCATAGGCGTGTGCACAAGTTCCCTTGAAGGGGGGCGAAGGCAGGCAAGCGTTCGTCACAGCGCCTGCCCACCCTATGAATTGAATGTATGGGGCTGGGTTTGTGCCCCCCTTGAGCACACAGCATCTAACTTGTTCACCAATTATTTTTGTAGCAAATAAACAAAATGATGGTTCAATAAAATTGTACTTTAAGAAATACCATCTTAAGTACAGTAGAATGTCGATGATGGAAGTTTGTAGGGAACACGCAAAATATTCATATCATTCCGAATTCGTATGAACCAGAAACAAGTTAAAGCTGATCATGAAGATAAACAACAACATTGGGGTCAACTTCTTGCAGCAAAAGGTCCATGATGTTCTTTTGAAAATTCCTGCTTTCAGAGCCCTTCAATAAAGTGCCACAGTTTCGTCATGCATGCTTCTGGTGCTATAAGGCGCATTCACACTTGGCACTATATGGAGCATAAACGATAAAAACTTACTAAAAATTCACTCGCTTCGCCACTCAGGTGGCCAGAAAAACAGCCACGAAGTCAACACGAAAAAAATCAGTCCTGGAGAATTCACGTATGCTGGCTGCAAAACCATGTCCGCACCCGCTGAAAATGTTCACCTTCGTCCTACTTTTTGTATGCATGCCACCGCCGCCGTCGCCGCTTTAGAATTTATTCCCATGCATTAAGATCTGTACAGAGTTCTAGTTACGCATGCAAAGCACTGAAAAGAAACAGTTTACACCCTTTAAGTGTTGTTTCAGGAGATACGTCAGAAAAAAGGACACGAACGGACGCACCAGCAGCAGTGGCAACGGATTCAGCCGGCAGTGCAAAAGAGAGACATATTAAGGCATGCCGACTTGCCGCTGCTGTACCTTCTACTTCTGGTGTTCACAGCGATTGTAATTTAAACCAGGCTCATGATGAACGCATCTTTTTCAAGGCCGTGAGCTTTGTTGTACTGCACGGGTAGTTTGCGATTGCGCCAAAGCGAGCCACCGTCGAGGCCTTTGCCCCCATGTTAATGCAGCCGGCGTAGCCAAAGCCATAGCAGAAAGGCAATCCACTAGTGCATGGCGGCAAAATTGGTTTCGGACCGACTTTTTAGTGTCGGCCTCGTGGCACCTGTTTTCCAGCCACCTTCCTGACTGTGAAGCGAGAAAAATTCAAGCGAGTTTTGCCGCATTCGCTCCCTTCGAGGCCAAATGTGAATGCCCCCCCCCCGCCCCTAATACAAGGCGCTTTGCGCCACTCGTGTGCAGTGGTCGATAGCGCGTCCGCTTGATCTGCGATTGCTCAGTAAAACGTTCATATAACACCCAAACACGGTGTATTTTATATGACATAGTTAATCCGGAGCAACCTTAAAATTCGTATCATCGCGAAATTGGCATCGACTGTATTCGTATCATCGAGATTCTACTGTACACCTAAAAAGTGGTACGGAGGGGAAGATGGAAGCTTGCGATGAAAAATCCGTAAACAGTGGTTGTGTCGGGCCAGCGTTTTTGCACTTGTCTTCGAAAGAGGTGACTATTGGGCTAGTTGGTGCTTTGACATAGAAACCATCCTGACGGCTCACAGCTAGAACAGAACTGATTTCTTTAGCGCTTCTGTGTCTACACTTCTTATCCTCTCCCCCACCCTAACAAAGGAGGGGGAGGGGGCAACACTGGGTACGTGGGTGTGAGAGATCAAGGGGGGGGGGGGGGGGGTCCTGTGATGAATCATATGAGTGAAGAAGGAACAGGTGTTCTGTGATTACGAGAAAAATCAGAAAGCGGTGGGGAAGTAAGGATGTACACATGCCACGAATTCCTGGTTGCCGAACTGGTTGTCGCTAAATAAAAATCATAGGTTGATATTCCTTGACGAAGGGCTTAACTTGCAATGGTTTTCTTTAAGTATATACCATGCCAATTAGATTCAAGATCCCTTATGGAAAGGATTCCACTATCTGCTTGGAGTGTTTTGAACTTGTGAATAAGGTGTGACTCTATATATTTGCTGTCTCTTCAACCGGAAGTTTGATTGCATTCCTTTTGCAGCACAGTTTTATAAGGCTAGCGCTCACGGGGTACCTTATGCATAAACCTAGGCCGACTCAAAGGCAAAAGCCATATTGTTTTATTTGTAATAGCAATTATATGAACATTCATGATAGAATTACGCTATTGCTGTCATGTCCTGTGCAATGTCCAAATCAATACTCCCCCTTTCCCTGTGCGCATCGTATGTTTTACACACTGGTAAAAATGCAAGAGCTGGGGTGACGAATACGGCAGAAGCAAAGATAAAAAAGCCAGCCTATTTATGCGATGACATCACCCCATGTGCCAGGCCTGACATTGATTGCTACTCAAGCAGAGAGGAACGCGAGACCACAAAGAAAGGGGGGGGGGGGGGAGCCATCGTGGCCCTAGAGCAGCAACTGTGAACTTTGACTCTGACTTAAAAAGGGACACTGAAATAGTTTCTCCAAGTTTTGCCAGCGTTTCAGCTAGAGCATCACCAAACTATTCTCGACACAAATTGAGCGACACGCCGAGTACCAAGATCGTTATAGACAGTTATAGCATACCCTCCTTCTCACTTCTGCCTAGCCCCTTCAAACTATGAGGCACACTGGCATCCCTGGCCATCGCAGTTCTCTTATGAGCGCACTTGACCCTTTGAGCTTTGCCCAGTCTAGACTGCCGAGATTGTACGCCAATAGATTGCGCGTGATCTCGGAGGCCATCACACAGTGCACCCGGCAGCAAGCACACCGCCTAACAGGAGAGACGAAGATCGCAAAGTGGTTCATATCTGCTCTGATAGGTGCCGCCACCCTACCAGTCGATATTACTTCCATGCATTCCACAGCCAATCAGATCAGCAACCTCAGTAATATCTTGAAAAATTGAATTGCTGCACAAACTTGAAGAAAAAAACAAGAGAGACAGGAAAGAGTGCAGCTCAATTTTTCAAGTATGAACCAACTAGTCTGCAAAAAAGTATTGCTTCAACATATTTCTAGTTCTGCGGACTCTTTCCTATGTTACCTGAAGAAGCCACAAGCTGCTAAGGCTTGCGTGAACCTTGTCGCACAGTCCATCTGCATGTCTCGATATCTGTCCTACTGCTTAAAGAAGAAATACGTTCCTACTGCACTCTTTCCTGTCTCTCTTGTTTTTTTCTTCAAGTTTGTGCAGCAATTCAATTTTTCAAGTATGAACCAACTAGTCTGCAAAAAAGTATTGCTTCAGTAATATCGTGTTACCAAAACGTGTAGTTGTGTGAATGGGCATTTGACAATGTGTTTGGCTGAGTCACAGCAATCTGCAGAAATTCGCAACTTTAAAGTGTTGTAATAAATCACACAGTTTGCGAAGGAAGCTCAAATGACCCTTAAGACTTTGTCTATTGTACAAAATCATCAAAATCATTTCAGGGTCCCTTTAAGGGTGCGATCACTGGCGCATGCACTATTTCATCAGCCACTACAGGCAGCTTGTAGACAGTCATACGTGTTGTACTCTCAACGTGAACAGACTGCGCCATAAGTGCTTCGCTTCGTGGAGCACCCATATATGGGGCATGCACTAAGCCCCCAAGGCAGCCACACCTTTGTCGCACGATTTTGGAGGTCCATTACTTTGCGCTGTTTGTGCTGTACGCTCATTGACGTGCAAGAGATACGCTCATTGACGTGGTACAGATATAGAACACAGCGTGTGCAGCAAGTATTTTGCATGTGTGGCGAATGCGCGGATCTTTAAATTGGCAACCCAACACTAGTGCTTCCCACAGATGACGTCATTGTACCTTTTAGACCCAATATCGCATAATTCAACAGAAACACTGCTTAAAAAGACTATGGCCAGTCCAGGTGTCCATGCGGTTTTCATGTTGTCTGTTGTCCAAATAGAAGCAGACGTTAATGGTACAGAATGTTTACGTGTAGTCTCATCAGTCATGATACCTGGAGATTGCAAGTGCCAGCGACTGTGCCCTTCGAGCGACGCAGCCTCCCACCCCCCCCAAAACGAAACAAGAAGCAATGAATGTGATAACGTAATGTTCATTTTTTAACCATCTGCTAATCACCCTGGAAGGCGAAGGCATAAGGTGCAATATGGCGTAGCCGCTTCACAGCGGGCTTGCCGACACCAGAGCCATCAGCGATGGGCTCACTACAGAAACCTGCGCGCATTAAAACCAAATTGCAGATGCTCGGACGAGGAGGCATGCTTTTATTAATGAAATGACATGAAAAAAAAAAAAAAGGAAGCGAAAAATTTTAATTTGGACCCTCAATCATGAGCTAGAAAGGTTAGGGTCTTTTAAGGACATTTATCGCAGGAGCAATTACAAACACGCATGTGCTGGTGGAAGAAATTACGAAAAAGCTCTCCTGCATGAAGATCCATAAATAAAGTTCACT